AACATCTCATTAGCAGTAGCTAAATGCTTTGTCAATGTGTTTGCTGGATTTTGTTTCCCGTCATTTTTGCCAATAATGACTTGTTTCGTACGCACCAATTCCTGAATGTACATGTGTCCAACAGCAACATGTCTCATCTTAGCTAGCCCTATGCGCTTGGCGGCTTGCAACGCGGCTGAAGAATCACACCAAACACGTGGTGTATCGATTTTCATCCCAAAATCTTCTTGGGCTAGATTTTTCACGTACACGCAACTTTGAGCACAGCGCGTTAAAGATCGCATCTCAGCCTCACCAAAACTGGTTGCAGGGACGCCCGGTTGCGTTGTGCTTTTTGTTTCAACCACTGTACCTGCCAACACAATTACCTCACCTGAACTGGACTTGCGGGTATCTACGCATCCATCCCAATCACTTTCGGTGTAAGCATGCAATGGCAATGGCTCATGGGGGCCTAAACCATCAACCAGTTTATACGTGTCCATAGTTGATTGTTCCAATGGAACACCGTGCAAACATCTTCAAGTTCTGTCAACAAAATGTTTTCCAACTCTTGCCTGTACGCAGCGGCAGCTGGCTGTCGCCCATAAATATTTCCATCTACTTGCCGCACAGTGTGTTGTTTCGGGACATTTGCCAATTCCTGTTGCACTTTTGGGCTTTGCTTTGCTAACTAAGACTCGCAACCGTCCAACCGTTCCTGAGGTGGTCGGAGGCAAGTGGGTTGGCCTTGGTCATCTCCACTGTTTCGGGCGATCAGGAAAGCACTGGTCAGATCGGCTTTCGAGCGCGGAAATGTGTTCAAACGAGAATAAACTTCCAAAATTTTCAATGATGCTGGGTGGGGTGTAGGGCAAAAATTGGACCGGCCCTCGGAACAACCGTTGCTCTGGGGTTTGTGAGTCTACTCTTGGCTACTCCATTATTCTTTTTGTCAACCCAAACATGGTTGAAAACCCAAATGTTTGGTGGCAACGCGCGCCCGTCTCAAGGAGTAAATTCTTTGAATACCCCTTCCAGTTTTTTAAATTCCTGCAACCTTGCCATGTGCCTTTCTTCTGGTGACAAACACGTGTCCAAAATTTCCACAACATCTGCAATTACATTCTCATCGTCGCCTTCAACAAACTTGGTCAACAATTTGTCAGAAATCCCAGATATTTTGCGTGCACCGGTTTCGACCTCCATCCCCCCTTCGCCTGCGACGTCCCTTGGTGCGGTGTTACCCGCCTCACCCGGCAACTGGTGGCCTACTCTTAACCGATGCGGCCGAAGTTGTGGGGCTGTTGGGGCTTGAAGGTATTGAACTGCGCCGGGGTGTGGCGATGTTGAAAGTTTCAGGTACCTGGCCTTGAGGCTGCGCGGGGAACATGCTCACATCCAGGTCCTCCTCCGCTCGTAGTTTTGGTTTCTTGCTTGTGTTTCCTTCCCGTCGCTCCTTGTTTTGTACCTGTGTCCGGCTGTTGCGCGACGACCGCTGGGGGCACCACCGGTACGAACTCGACACGCGGCTGGCTGACTACAAGTGCTGGTTGCACTTTCCGAGCTGCCCTCCTTGGTGTTCCATGGCAGCCCAGCTGTGGACCCCAAACATTCAACACTGTGTCGTTGGTCTCCCGACAAGCGGCGTACAGTGCGGAAAGTGTGCGCGCCAGTGGGTGTCAACACTACGAACTCGTCAGGCCCTTCGGATTTTCCCGCGACACCCCACGCGCCCAACGCGGAACTCCTTTTGCCAGATCTTTCATGTTAGGCCACTTTGCTTTGCACGCACTCGCCGAAAGGCAGCAGTTCACCACAAAAATCATGGCCCTTGATGATACGAAATGGTGTGGTCCTACTACTGTTCACATGCAACCGTGCCATTGACCATGCCACATGTCGGACAATCCACGGAAACAAACGGTGCGTGTTGCGAATGTCAACACCATACTGCTCAGAAAGCACGCTCACCCATGTCCTGACTCTACCTGCGCCCTGTTGATTCACCGTTTCCCCGTCAGCTAGGGACTGGGATGAAGAACGAGGGCGCTCTCGCAACTGATTTCCAATTTTCTTTTGCAAAGTCTTCGCCAATTTCAATATCACAGGTTCCTGATCTGTCTGAAAAGTAAACGGCTTCCAACCCAAATTCACCAACCAATTTTCCAAGGACTTCACGGCGTAATGTTGGGGTCATCCACTTTCTTAGATGGGATTGCAAACTTTGTTGAAAAGTGGATGGAAGTGGCAAAAACTGTTGGCCCTGAGCTGCAGTCTGCCAAATTCGGCGCGGCATTGTTGACACAGGGGTGCTACCAACATCTTTACGAAGGTAAGTATGTCTATTTAGACACATGTCTATATACAAGCCAAAAGTATGCACCATCCTTGAAGTCCAATGACTATTGTTGGAAAGGCCGAAGCACCGGCAAATCCTTGGCGAATCGCCTAAAGATCATTGTGATAATGATCTTGGACTCCCGTGGGCTATGTAGCTAGATGGGCCTATACACGAATGCCAAAGCGGCACAGAACATGACCGAACAGCAGTCACATGTCTTCCATCCAGCGAATGCGACCAAACGGTGGCAAATATCTATTTTGGACGTGTGGCCGTTGTTGTGTTGGATACACCGTTTTTTGTGTTTCAGTGCCGCCGGGCGTGTTCAGCCACCAAGTGGCCTCCAGCGAAAAAAATTGGCAACGCCTGGATTTTCTTTAAACACATGTTTTGGGCTGTCCTGCAGCAGCTTTGAAGTGACATCCTTTGTTGTTCTTGTTTTATCCTTTGTTCAATGTTGCGGACTTTATTTTCCAAAAGTGTTCCAACATCATTCATTTCAACGTTGAAGCCATGTCAAAACTCTTCAAAGTCAAACTCTGCCACACCACCGCGCGACAAAAACCATTGACCACGGCTGAATGGCTGTTCTATGACGTTACCATAGTGTGTCGAAGGAAGAAGGCGTCCTCCACCACCAATGCGTGGGAAACCGCAGTGATTGCTGCGACCGCTCGTTCTGGGTGGAGCAGGCACGCCAGGCAAACCCAGAAAGAGACAGACAGAGAGAGAAAACGCGGGGGATCATAAGCAGTCTGAAAGCAGTGCACGAAAAATCGGCGCACATTTTGTTTCGTATACGCTTGTTGTGCAACAAATTTTCCCTGCAGACGGCAGATTTAAAACGAAACAAACCTAAAGTAAAGCACGAAAACGTTTCGAACATCTTCAGCCTCAAGCCTCGCTAAGGTTAAACCAAACATTTCCCTTTGATGCTGATGGATTTCCTCATCATATTTTATTATTTGTGATTGGGTTTTTACATTGCAATCTCGTATAAATTAATATATATATATGCGGTTTTGTTTGTGCAAAGTGGGGCATCCTCACCCCCATTCTGGTTGAAGGAGCAAGCATACAAACTCCGAACCCGAGGTTGCTACTTAGAACTGACTGACACGTGAGTTGTCCGCCTCGTGTTATCGCGAGCCATGGTCACACCGCGCCGCGGTTTCAGTGGTTTCTGAGTGCCGAAGGTCCGACTTGTGGATTTGGGTCGGCTCTTTCAAGGCTCCCAGGTGGCCAAAGGAGGGTCCGGTCCCGAACTTGGTGGAGCATCGGTGTGTTGGTTGGTCTAGTGGGGGATCCCGAGCGATCCCCGACGTCCGGTGGATTGGGCCGCATGCGGCGCGGTGGAGGTGGGGGCCCAGTGGGGGCCGAGTCGGGTGGCCGCGTCGGCCAGCTGGTTCTGCTGGCAGCTTTCGGGAAAGTCGAGCGCCCTGAGTTATTTCAACCATCACGCACGCCCCTATAGGCTTCAACGTTGTCTTGAATTGGGTTTCATATCGATAGGAACCGTGCTAGACGACGCCATAGGAAGGAAACACGTTCAGAAGGATTCTTCGGTTCGTCGGTTTGGAGTGGTCAATGCAGGTGCATTTATGGCCACAAGTCACACTTGGAGGCGGGCATAGTCGTTTGACAAGTACGTCCTCAAGATGATTTGCCGATGGTTCGCATTCAGCATATGGGATTTCATCTTAGGCTCTCATGATGTGCTCCTGCTTTGGGTGGCGAGATCTGCATTTGGGGCGGTCTTTTTCATCCAGGAGCGCTTTGTATATCATTGTATATTGGATTCTGCTCAAGTTTCTGTAGCTTGTGACATGTCGAGGATCCGGCCATTGTGCCACCTGCATGAAGGCCTCGTTGGGAGCCTCAAGAGTCGAACGAAAAACAGATGCGCTCGGAACCGAAAGAGGTCGCGCTCCCTCCACGCTGTCGCGCCACCCAGGTCGTTGGTGATGCGATCGATTCCCGTCGACGGGGCTACCGGTCGACCGATGTGATGGTCCGGGGGCTGCCGAGGACGGGAGAGAGACCCGACATGTGTGGGGCCTCGAAAGGAGGAAGAAGAGCAAGAGGAAGCAAGAATCAATACAGAATCAATGGGAGTGTTTGCAATTTTCTTTGCAACCTTTTCTGGTGGGTGGTCCGGGCTCGTGTTTTTTGGGGATGCCAGGCCGCTGACAAAACCGCCGCCGGAGAGCTGGGGCCGCTAAGGCCCTCATGTCGGCGCATGTCGGCGCTCCAAGGCGATGAGCTCCTGGTGTCGTCGACCTGAGTCGGTCGACCTGAGTTTTTTTTGTTTTTGTTTTTGCTATTTTTGGCATATTTCTTGGTGTTGTTGGCGTGATTTTTCGGAGGACGCTTGAGGATTCTGACGGTTGATCACTTGTTTACAAGCACAAGCACTTTCCTCGCACCAGGGAAGCGGGATGAGCAGCGGGACATGGAGATCAGGTGGACTTCTTGCACCAGTGATGCTTTTTGCATGTCAAGCTTCAGCAGTTGCGTAGAGTATAGAGGAAAGTGATGCTTGGAAATTAAACAGGGTTCAGATTCCGAGTCTGCGAACCTGGCTGGCTCACAGCGCTGGGAAGGGACCATTGGCAGTTGCCATGGAAACAGAGCAGTTGCATCGAAGCATCGCATACAGGCTGTTTTCAAGCAGAAATGGCATTCTTGTTGACTTCCCAAGCCCACCCGAAACACTGTCCCGCCATGGCCAAAGCGATGCCCCCAAAGCTGGTCGTGGCGGCGCGTGCCGCCCTGCTGGGCCTATGCAGCCTGCTGAGCCTTTGCAGCCTGTGGCGCTCCGGTGAAGATGAGCTCGACGCGCGGAGCCGCGCGCGGCGGCTTGGCGCTTCGCCGTTCCACTGGGCGCGGCAGGGCTGGGAGGCCTTGGCGGCGACGAAGCTCTTGCCGGGGCCTTGTGTGGTTCAGGAGGTGCAGGGCACCGTGCAGGAGCTGATCTGGAGCAGCGAGGACTTGGTGCGATCGCACTGGATTCTTCTGGTCCTGGGAGTGCTGGGAGCTTTGGTGGGAGCTGCGGCCTTCATCCTCAAAGAGTACCTTGCCAGGAATGCCACTGCTGTGTACACGTCCTTGTTGCAGATGGAGGGTGAGGGTGATGAGGGCACTTTGATGGCAAAAGGTGAGGTGGTTTTGATGGTTGGATTTTGGGTCGCAGACATGTTGTCCGATGTCTATGTCACGTACTCCTACTTCAAGAGTGGCCTGTATGTGTTCGGCAGCCTTCTCATCACTATTTGGCTGGGAAGCGGATGCATCGCGTTCTTGCACCGTCGTCTCAGCTGGCAACGGTGCGATTCTGGCATAAAGGCTGACCTCTATTTTTCGAACTTGAATGAACAGGGTGAACCGCTGCCCACTTGGACAACGTTGATGCTTTACCTCCTACAAGTCGAGCCCATCATCATGGCCTACAAGTCGTGGGGAAAAGCACTGAGCAAGAATCTCCAAGAGGAGAAGATCCTGTCCTCGCTTTGTGAGGGTGCTCCCTCAAGTTTACTGCAGATCTACGCCTTGATGGTGAGCCAGCCCAGCGGAAATCCATACTTGTTGGCAGGTTCCATAGCTTTGTCAATTTTCACTGTGGCCAAGGGCCTCAACAAGGCCTATGAACTCTGCATGCCTGAAGGTCGCAAGGTGGAAAAGGCCCTTCTTCCACAACCCGCCCTGCTTTTGTTCCGCATGTGCGATGGCTTTGCCCGGCTCGGGCTCTGGGCCTTGCTGGGCTTTTCTTTGCGGCCCTCTGGTGCGGCAAAACAGGGGATCCAGCAGCCATTCCTGCCCCTCATTATGCTCGCAGAGCTTTTGATCGTCGTGCTGCTTTTCAAGTCTAAATCCTTTGGACTTGACCTCAAGTGGTCCGCCCTGTGGGCGAAGAACTACTTTGTTGGCATCATAGCATGCTTCCTGAGCACCTTTTGGTGCTTCTTCAACAGGCAGTTGACTGCACAAAGGCGCTTCTTTCGAAGCCTGCTAGCCTTCCGCACATGCGAAGCCGTTGGCATCATCGTTCTTGCCATTCGCAGCTTCTCTTCACCGCCTGGAGATGAATGTGCCCTGTCAGAGAATCCGTCCATTACCATTATCGGGCTCATGGCTTCCATGTGCTACCTATTCAGCCTTCTCCTTGCCATTTGCGATGATGCTGCACTATCCTGCTGCTGCGTGCCCATTTTTCCTATGGTCAGTGGCTGGCAAGGCGGCCGGTTGGAGACAGCAGCACGCCTGGGCTTTGCAGCCCACGTTGACCACCTGTTTGAGCAGTCTGAGCCCGCGGAACGAGCTGCGGCGCTGTGCCAGGCGGCCGAGGCAGGCCATGTGTCAGTGGTGCACACCTTGCTCCGCAAGAGCACTTCCGCTTCTGCAATCTGGGAAGGCACCTCGGCCATGCATTGCGCCGCCAAAGCAGGTCAGCTCGAGGTCATGAAGCTGCTGAAAGACAAGGGTGGCGATTTGAAGGCGACAGATGGGAATGGAGCCACGCCAGCCTTCATTGCTGCGGAAAATGGCCAGGCGCAAGCTTTGAGTTTCCTGCAGACTTCTGACTGCGACCTGGAGAAGGCCAACAAGTTTGGACAAACTCCGGCATGGATTGCCGCATCGAATGGACACCTGGAGGTGCTGAAGTTGTTGAAGGGTTGCAATTGCAACCTCAAAGCCAGAGATTCAGGTGGAAGAGGAAGGACTCCAGCTGACGCTGCGGCCGAGCACGGCCATGTGGACGTTTTGCAGCTTCTCCACGCCGCCGGCTGCGACCTCGCGGCGGCGAGCAAGTATGCCGCCCAGGAAGGGCACGTTGAGGTGCTCCGCTTCCTGCAGAGCTTGGCGGTGGACCTGGACATGGTCGACGCCAAAGGAGTGGCCCCGTGTCACGCCGCTGCGGCGACCGGCCAACTGGAGGCCCTGCGGTTCCTGCACGCTGCTGGCTGCAACATGGAGACGGTGGATGAGGATGGGGTGACTCCTGCCCATTTTGCTGCCAGAGTTGGGCATGTGGAGACCCTCAGGTTTCTCCACAGTGTGGGATGCAACTTGGAGACGGTGAACAAGCATGGGGATACTTCTGTCCATGTGGCTGCCAAAGAGGGGCATGTGGAGAGCCTCAAGTTCCTCCACAGTGTGGGATGTACCTTCAAGGTCACCGTCCTCCATGCAGCGATTGAGAGGAATCAGCTTGCTGCGGTACAGTTTTTGATTGGCATCGTGGATGTGAACATGCCGGGCTTGGGTGGAGCCTACGCCCTGGACATCGCCAAAGCCAATCACTCCAGCAGTGCCCTGACCGCAGTTCTGGAGAAGGCGGGTGCCATTGGTGGACCTCAGCCACAACTGGTCGGACTCACCGCTCTGAAGCCGCGGCAGCCACCATCAACTGGTCTAACCTGGTTCACCTGTGGTTTGCCCGAGCTTGCCCAGAGCGGCGGGAAGTTCTACTACGAGATCCAGTTCCTCAGCGATTTCAAGTGTCCTCAAGTTGGCTGGGCGAGCGCCCAGTTCCAGCCAGGCGAAGCCGGTGATATCGGAGTAGGAGATGATGCGCACAGCTGGGCCTTTGACGGCCAGAGATGTCTTTGGTGGAATGATAGGGAGAAGAAGGCCTTGGAGATTTCCAGATGGAGCAGGGAGGACATCATTGGCTTGGCCGTGGATTTGGACAACCACGAGATGCAGCTGCGCACGAAGCACGGAACAGAAGCCACCATGCCTTTCCATCCTGACGGGCCCGTGCAACTAGGCATATGAGCTTGTTCAATTTGTCGAGTCTTTTTCTTCAAAACTGCTGTAAGAGTGTCTGTATGGATCCAGAACAATCAAATGAGTCTCTAAGTCTCTATGCAAGTCGATTTTAACTCCCACAGCTTTTCAGCAGCGGCCAGCTTTAGACACAGATGATGTGCTTCCTTCTGCTTTTGCACTTCTTGCCTTCAGGTACCCAGCAGTATCGGTCATAGGCCTGTTTCAAATGCGCTTGGCCAAAGAGAGCTGGAAGCTACAAGCCCCTGCCGGTTACAACGAGTGGAGCCGTGGAGATTTCGCATGGACCAACCAAGTTGTCCTCCCGACTTTGCTAGGAAGCCTAAGAAGCAAGGCTGATGCAAAGACTTCGCCTCTCTCTTAGTTAAGTTAAATAGCTAATTGGCGCAGCTGCGGCCAAACAGTGTCCAGTGTCAAACTGCTGCTGAGGTGCAGTGCCTCTGCCGTTATGCCATGGAATTGAACAAAACGATTTTGTAAGAGTTTCTCCCACAGCAGTTTTGTCAGAAGCTGGAGCCTTTGGAGCCTTGGAGACCACCGCACTTTTGCTTTCGCAGGTCACAGTTCGAATCTGCCTGAAATGGGCCTCATGGTGGCTGAAGAGCACTGAAGTGCACGGAACGTCTCGGAGACTTGGATCAAAGTTGATACCAACAAGTGAACGGTAGGTGAAGACAAGAAAAGCACCTACAAACGAGTCTCGGCTTGCTTCTTCCGGTTGGTTTCGGTCCCCCTCTGGGCTGGTGAAGTCGCTTTTTTTCTTCTCCCGATGCGACCCTAGTGGCACCAGGTCAGGTTCAAGAGACCTGAGCCTCTCCCGGCGACGCTGAGTCGTCGTGCCTCTTCCCCGCGACCATCGCCCGGTGTCCGATGAAGCACACTCTTTAGCGCGCGGCAGACCGCGCCAAGCAGGCCAAAGAACAGAACCCGTCGCTGTGGTGCAGAACAGTTGCAAACCAGATCAGGAAACGAGTGAACCCCCCTTTCAGAAACTACGGTTTAGAGACTTAGACTATACGCGCGCTTCAGAAATCACGCTTTTCAGAAACGATATTTTGAGAAACCACGTAAATTTTGTGGGTTTTAGAAAGCGTTTCGGAAACAATTGCAAGCACTATGTCTGGACACATAGCTTCAGAACCATGGTTTCATGAACCGTTATTTATTATTTCCCATGAACTAAGAACGTAGCAAGGTGGGAAAAAGCTGAGAAGCATTTGTTTTTGTTGTTTGCGATGGTTTCCTTTCTCATCCTGATCATCTGCTGTCGAGGAAAGTCAAAGATGCTGGATGTGAGCCGCGCCAGACTGATCACTAGACTCACTAGACGTCCAGATTGCCAAAAGGTCAAGAAGCGCTTCCAAAAGCAACCATTTTTCAATGCTTCCTGTAGAACTTGAGGAGCTGGGCAAGCTCCTGCTTGGAGTGCGTAGATGTGTGCGGTGCTGGGTAGGTTTCAAAGCGGCCAGGGAAGTCCATGATCACCCCATCTCTTGGTTGCTTGGACAGGCAGGCAGCTTGTCAGTCAAGAGGTTTCATTCGATTCAAGGCATGAACTTCCACCGTTCGGCTTCTGCCGTCTCTCGTTTCCACTCGCTTCCCAAAGCCATTTCTGCTTGAACGCACTTGACATGCACCGCGGCCAGGGGTTTGCCGCAATCAGAGCAGAGACCTGAAGCATGGCACATCCTGGCACCGTCGAAGGGCTGACAGCCCCCCTGTGCAGTCGTCGAACGGGCCGTCAAATGAAATTCTACCCCATAGGCTCCACCACCACCTTGAAAAGCTCAACAGTTAACAGACAGAATCATGACTTACACTTCGCAGGTTCCATTTTTCTTATCCATTTATTGCCACAGTGTTACGTTTAGAATGGTTCTTCCAGAAGTTAGAAATCCAACCTTGGCAGCTTGATCACAGCAGCAGTCGCTTCGATGAAGTTTGATGGGACTGGCCGGACTGGGGCATGCTCTTTGTGTGGCCATGGCTAATCCTTCCAGGAACGGCAGGGACAATACTCGCAGCTTGAACCTGTGTGGAACCCGTTTTCTGTAAAACATCCACTGAAGGAATCCAGGCCCAACAATTGCATGTGACTACAGAAGGGGAGAATATGCTTCTACAACCCTCTCAGACGTCCTCATTTCAATCTGTGGACCGTGCGCGTGGCTGATATGTGCAGGACTGTGCGAAGCGCAAGCCAGGAGCATAGATTATGGGAGAGTGGAACAATGGTGCCCCCCAAACAACGGATATACAGTGGTTCCAGAGTAGATGGTACGATCGCCGAGTCGGTGGTTTATATGGACCTCCATTTGTCTAAGGCGTCTTGGAGTGCCAGTGCATCGACAGTCTTTATTGCCAAGGAAACATCGATGAAGCTGACTGACTCAGTTTCTGCTGAAACTCCCTCCGCGTGCCTACTGAGTTCTCGGAGTTTTCCATCAAACCCTGCGAAGCAGGGGAGGCTGAGGTCTCCAGGGTGCTGCCCGGGGGGGATGGCTCGATTCTGCAGCAGTGTGCCATGATGAAATGTACATGTACAAAGACAAGCCCCCAAAATGTGCAGATTTGCAACGTCAGCTTAGCCGTTTTCCTTTCCTATACTGGTTATATAGTCGATGTCAGGTGGAACTCCTCCCACTCTGTGCCTGGTGCGTGTTTGGCCAGGCGGGCGTGCAGGTCTTATGGCCGAGGCGGGGGGACCTCGCCGTTCGCCTTCGAAGCCCCTCGTCGTGTTCGTCGGATGTCTTCGGCCGAAGGGTCCGGCGGGAGAAGTGGGTTGCTTTGGACTTCGGACCGCGCCAGGAGAGGGCAGCGCTTAGCGCCCACGCTGACGCCCACCAAGATCCGCACGCGGATTTGGGGCGACTTCTCCTTGCGGAAGGATGGCTACATCTTGGCGGTGGTGGCCGGGGTGGATCAAAGCCACGTGTCGGAGGTCAACGAAGTGATTGATACGCTGGTGTCGGCGTACATGAATATCGAAGTCTTTGGACTGCAGCCTGGGCAGTACTTTGCCCAGGTGGTGCTGGTGGACAACACCGGCAAAAGCAGGACGACCCGACCCCCCCGAGCGTCGCGACTTCGACGCCAAAGCATCGAAATCCAACCCATTGGATGAATCCAACCCGAGTTTAAGGAGCAAGTTAAACCTGGTCCGACTGACCTTCTTGAGTATACTGGTTTTGTATGACCATCTCCAGTAAAATGAGGTCTTTGACTTGTAGGGAACCTTCGATGAGACCAAAGGACCCGAGATTTAGCGACCCAACCGAGAAGAATAGAACGACCTTGGCCACCCCTGCAAAGAAGAACTGCTTCTTTGAGCGGCGGTTCCCGGAACTCCACCGCTGCCGTCACCTCAGGACCTGCTGGCGCACCCACGAGGTGTCCTTCAGCATTGCGCGGCGCCAGGACGAGCAGAACCGGAGCGCGGCCCTGCACAGGACCGGCCGGGCCGCGCCGCGTCGGCGCTGCACCCAGCGCCGCGGATCTTCCGGTGTTGTCGGGTTCGAGGAAGGAGTGCCGCGCCCCATACGGTTGGCCCCCCGGTGCTTAGACGCTGGATGAAGAACGCCCCCCTCCTAAATGAAGAGGTGCTTCAATTCAAAAAGTGCCTTTCTTTTTGATCGATCAAGTGTCTACGTTAGTGTGCCACAAGCACTCTGCTGCACATTCCTGCACCTTCTGCGACCTTTTGCTGCAGGAATCTGATACTCTACGAGCAGGGCTACAAATACAATGCAGCCATTCAGGACTGATGTGAGTGATGAGTGTTGCATTTCCCCTTCCCATGGCTTCCTTGTATCGCTTCCGGAGGTTCCGTCACATGGGCCCAATGTCTGAGTCTTGTCGCCCCAGTTGTTTGGGACAGAGCCTTTTCGATCCTTACCACATCGACCTCCCCTCAACATACCCAGAACTTCCGTCTGGATTCACGGTCTCTACCCCACCTGCTCATCGTAATCCATCACAACCAGGCCGAGACAAAAATGAGTTAACCCTTGGACTCTCAGGGGATGTATCTTCTTTAGCTGAACCGAAGCCCAGCGGACCGTCTGGGCCCTTGTTCCGCCTTCACCTTCACCACCGTCACCGTCAAGTCGCCCAGGACTCGGAGCAGTTCCTGGTGCAGCCGAAGGATCCCTCGCGCGACTTCGCCTACGTGACGATCCTCTGGAGCGACGACTTCGTGGACAACGCCATCGTCTGGGCCACGGGGCTGCGAGCGGTGGGCTCGACCTTCCGGCGGATCTGCATGATCGGGCGGAACCGCATCGCGAGGAGCCGGATACAGATCTTGGCCAGGCGCTTTGAATGGAGAGGGCGGTGAGGAAAGCGAGGTAATGGGTGTGTATCAGAAGGGACCTGCTGAGGGGCTGGTCCCTGGTGAAGTATTAAAAGCCAATCGCCAATCTATAGAAAAATAACATGAAAAGACTAAATCGCCCACCACCTCCAACATGCAACTTCTTCCCACTCGCGCAACGGCAGCGCGCCAACGGCAGCGAAACGGCCGCGCGGCACCGCCGCGTCGTCCAAGCGGCAGGTGTTGCTGCGAGATCGCCATCACCGATCCCATCCAAGCGCCCGTCCGGGTGGCCCAGAATTCAAGCGGTTGAGGTCCGAAAGCAGATGCCGCGGAGGAGGGGGCTCACATGGTCTGGATCCCCGCTATATGAAAAACACATTTGTTGGCCGGTCAAAGGACTCGGTGCATGTTATACATCTGTGCGTACATGTGCATGTTCGAATCTAGTAATTAACTAGTATGCGTCCATTTTGAGGGTCCATGTTCACGCTGGAGGGGGACGACCAACTTTTTTCAATTCTTTTGATCAACGCTACATTTGCTCGCTTCGGCGCGTGGCGTGGCGTGGCGGCCGAGGCCTTGTCGCGAAGTTCCTGGAGTCAATATGCGCTGGTCCTGACCAAGTTGAGGATCTTCCAATTGGATCGGAAGGGGCTCAAGAAGATTGTCATGATGGATGCTTTGGTTATTCTTCCATTCTTCCTTTGTCTTTTTTGGGGGGGGTGGGGGGTGACGAATCCAGACACCTCGGATGTTCCATTTGTGTGCACACTGGGTGACTCCCCCCCCAAACTTCATCAAACTTCTACGTATATAACTATAACTACCATTTGACCATCAGATACCATCAGATACCATCAGATACCATCAGGCCATAAGGAGGACATACTGCACAGTACGACGTGCAGGAATCTGGGTGGCCTGGTCCTCCAAGGGTCCGCCCCACCGCCTCATCTCGTCCGACGGGGCCGCGTTTTGGACCAAAGGCAGACCACCAAGACCCGACCGGAAGAAAAGGAACACGTCCATCGTTGGGTCTTTTCGCCTAATCAGTGGTCAAACGTTTTTTTCTCGGGTTTTCTTTTCCTGGACATTCTTTGGAGTCGATGTCCAGTTCCAGATCCCTGGTCTTTTGGGGTCGTGGACGCGTGGAAAAGCAGTGTCTTCTATCAGAAGATCCTGAAGCCGTGGGTTGGATCAGGAGGACCTTCCGCCAAACTCAGGATGCAGACACCTTAGTTCTGCAGAACATCGACGAACTCTTCTGGCTTCCTTCGCCCTCGGTGACCGTGGATAAGGAGAACCCGCGCGTTGTCACCCGCGCGAGAACCGGGGGAGGGGCGCTGCTAAGCGAATGCTGGAGCGAGGGTGAGGAGGAGGTTGCTTGTCCTTCCAGAGATTTCAGTCGATTTATGTGGATCCGGTCAAAGGGGATCCTTCGTTCGATGCCATACTAAGGCGTCTTTTACTGCGTTGAGCGTCTTTTACTTAGTCGTTTACCTGGTTCTTCAAAGTGACCGAACTTGATCCCCTGGTTGGTTCGGTCACTTAGGCCTGGAAAAGGTCACTTATTAATACTCCAAAGTTCGGTACTCCAAAGTTCGGTCACGAACTGAAGAAGCTGGTAGTGTTGCTGTGGCGTCTTTGACTTCTGCCCGATGACGCATCATCGGTCTGTTCTGGGACGTGTCCCTGGGGGACGGTGACGGTGCCCGACAGGACACCTTGATGGGCGAAACGAAGAAGCCGAAGCTCAGTGCGGGGATTATGGTCCTGGAACCGGATAGTGCGAAGTGCCTGAGACGACGCAGTGGTGGGGGGTCAGGCCGAAGGGGCCGGGAGTCACCGACCAGAAGTCTTTTTGGGGCCGAAGAAATGGACCGATGGGGGGTTGTAAGGAGCCTGAGCCAAGTATCCGGGATCTCCAATGATTTGAGCCTGGCCAAGCTCTGAGAATATGGCCCATGTATGGAACATGAACCGACATAGGGCAAGATGAACCTACCTACCACCCATATTGTTGGATACATATGTCGGTATGGATGTCAGACTTGACTTCTGTTTGCCACACCGGCATGGGGCCCTGATCCTTGGGCCATGGCAGCTGCAGCGCTAGGGCGGAAGTCCGGTTAGTGCCCTGCCAACGGTGTACAGGGGATCACGAGTCAATGACATGAGGAGGGACCCTATGAAATGCAATTGATTTGTGAACCCCTATAGACAGAGGTCTTTGCCTGTTGACTTTGATTCTGGGGGGTTTCGAATTTCGATGGCTGAGTTTTGAGGGGTGGGATGGATTCAAATCTGAAGGTGGTGTCACTGAGGAGGAAGGGAGTACACTCTGACGAAGACCTGGCATGGAAGTGGGCATGATCCTGCCTGAAACGACGACTCTTTCCAAAAAGGAGGTCTTCCAATTCCATGGGATGTGTTCGCCGGAGTGGTTTTTGTAAGGCTGGTCAGTTGAACTCGTGAAGCCAACTATTCGTGTTGCCTGGTGGGGGTCCAAAGAGGGCAGGGCCATCCGATCGCTGTGTTCTCGCACGGCCGCACCTGATCGCTGCAGGTTCGACCGGTTGATGGAGGACAGCAACCTGGTTCTGGATGAGAAGAAGAACAAGAAGTTGCATTTCATTGAGCAGGACCTCTTGAATGTATCTCACCTGCAGGGCCCGGCCCCGCAGGGCACATCTGGACTGAACATGCTCTTGGAGAAGTTCTGAACCATCGCGCGCGGAAGGTTCTCCTTTTCTGAAGAACTGGCCACCTTAATCAGACTTGTTGGGATCCTTTTGGTGCCCGGTTCCACAGGGATTCCACTGGACTCTGGGAGACCTTCCTCGGCCCGAGGCATTCTTCAATCACAACTACAACATTCTGCCCATGACTCTCAGCTGCACCCGGGCCTACCCGGGGCCCTTATTCCAATGCCCCAATTCCAGCCGGCCTCCGAGCGGACGCTTGTGCGGTGCCGCGGGACCGGATGGTGCGGGTCTTCACCACGAGAACAGGTTTTTAATGGTTCGTGGAGTGCTGGATCACCCATACCATCGCGGTGAATCATGGTGAATCCGTGAGAAAGTTAATTTAAAATATCTAACGTGGTTCTAGCATCTCTAGCAAGCACCAGGCATTTCAGAGCATCTGCTGAGCAATGTCCGTAGCATTCCGTAGCTTTTGATTTTCTTTCAAACGGAGAGTAGGACATCAAGAAGGAGACGGAACTATGGACAAATCGGCACCAGCTGCAAAAAAGAGATGACTCAAACACTACGTCGCACAAGACTGAAACCAGGGGGCACGCCACAAGCTATTTCATGCCATTTCCAATGGCTCCCCCTGCAGTTTTTAGCCAGGGTGGAAACAGGAAGGAGCTGGTGGCAGGTCTAAGGACCTTAGACCTATTACTTACATGGCTCCCTCTGCAGTCTAAGGACCTACAACCTCTATCCCGAACTACTGGACTTGCTTCCGTTCCTCCACGTGAGCCAAGACTCTGGAGTGAACAGTAGCATGTGGCCTTCTATGGAGCTGCCCTTGGACAACAGCATCAAGGTGGTGCACTTCTGGCATTTGTTCAACCCCTTCCAGATTACCAAGTACAAGGGGGCGCATAACCTGCAAGTGAATGCCAAACGGATCCACAAGCAGATGTGGAGATGGTCCCGCACTCAGCTCCTCTCCGTTGGAACATGTCGATCGACAGCATCGTGTCGCATGTGTCGCACTTGTGCTCATGTGCTGGATCGGGCGCATGATTTCAGGTATACCATCTTCTGGAAGCTGCACCAGGAAGGCCTGAAACGCGGCTCGGCCAGGTGGTTAGGAACCACGCGGTTGTGCCAGAAGGGGTGGGTTGGACAGATTTCGAGATCAATCACTTTGATGGCAAAAGAGGATCATCAATCATCCACAGCCGGTCGCAGTCACCGCATCGCCAGTTGTCACGTACACAGTGCTATTGGATGTAACGGAGATATCGAGCATTTTTTCTCCCAAACAGGAACGTCCTGGCGAGAGTTCCGGGGCTTGGACCGCCCCGGACGGTCGAAGGACGAAAGCCGGATGGTGGAACCCAGATGGAGCTCTGACAGAGAGAGAGAGAGAGAGAGAAAGACACCTCCAAGGTGGAGCACCTGAAGATTATCCCAAATGGGTTCAGAAGTGCTACCACTCCTCCAGAGCCTTTGGGACGGAGCAGCAAAAGCCACCTGAGCCGCACAGGATGCACCATCGTGGCGTTTTCTCTTGGTGGGCCGGTGGGCCTTCTCTATTTCAGAAGGGGTTCGTCTCTGGTGTTTCTGTGGGCAGTTTTTTTTGCGGATCGGGATGTCTTAAGTTAGTATATCAAGGGTTGGCCCAAGAAAGCCGAACTGTCAGTCAATCAGGTCATTGAGCTCGAATCTAGGCCCAAGTTTCGTCACCGTTGGTTGCCGTTGGTCCCAGGTTCGTCCCCGTCGCTTGGGGTGCTCACTGCCGCCACATCGACGGGGTGGCCTGGTAGCGGACAAAGGGACTGCAGCTGTGCCGGTTGTGAGCTTCGTCCAACCGGGTCCGCCGGAAGAACGTTCCACCCAACGTTTGCAGGTGGCACCCGAGTTCCATGCCCCAAAGACAGGGGAGGTTGGAAGTGCTCTTGCTGGCTCTTGCTGCCATCTCCAGGCCCTCCCCAGTCATTCGGTCGTTCAGAAGTGAGTGTGCAAGATACTGTGTACAAGGAGGGGTTTCTTGCACACTGCCCAACCTCAGCACAGCACATCAAGGAGCACCTTCCAGGCACCATTCCCCCAACTTCTCCTCCCAAGTGATTCCTTCAAGCAGCTCCAAAAGCTGCAGGCAATATCCCAAAAGAGTTGCAGCTAGTGCCTCTTCAGCTCTCGGGCGATGCCATGTCCTCTTTCTACGCCGCACCGGGCAGTGCGCCCGGCAGCGCGTCCGCGAGCGCCCGCTCCTCGTCCCGCTAGCGCCGCGCCGGCGCGGCGGCGCCGAGCTTCGATGTGAAGCTCAACAAGGCGATCGTGGAATTGGAGACGGGGGCGGCCATTCTGGACTTTGTAGAGACGAGGCAGTCTGGGGAGGTCTTGGGGGGAGGAAGGTCTTGGGGAAGATGGGAAGAAATGGAAGGTCATGGAAGAGAAGAAGGTATGACACGGTAACAACGACATGGTAACATCACCCAGTCAGCAGTTCCTTCCAGGAGTCGTTTGGTTCGTCAGTGGATGTGACCTGGGCGCCCTTAGCCTCTAAGTTCGGAACCCCGCCATGGAAATGCTGGAAGGCGTTTCTTCTTTTTGTTCCCATTCATTTTGCATTGAGTGTGGAACCCTCAGGTGGACTGAGCTGGAGGAAGCGCATTTGGTCACAGCCCTACATCGGCTATCGAAGAGCCGAGATGGTCCTGGACTACTGGGTCACTCTGTGTTGAAACGGGTGACCGCTGCGCTTCATCGTCGTGCGCAGCAAAGCTGCGCGGAGGCTAATGCACCAGGGGGGAACTTGCTTTCGATGACCCCGCGACATCTGGCCAATACCGTTTGGGCTTTGACGAGATTGTCGGCTAATGAGCCGCCGCTGATCAAGGAGAGCATGGAACCCGACGCACTGAGAGATCGAGCGAGCGGCGAGCTATGTGTTGTGTTTTCATGATTCAGACTCAAGGGTCCAAGGGTTTCTTGAAGTTGTGTCCGTGGTTCACACCTGGTAGACCCATTCATGTTAAGAGCTACCAATGAACTGATGTCGACCGTTGATTGATTAATTGATTAAAGGTCACTAGGCCCCTCCGTCCATCCCCAGTTGTTCGTTTTTAGCGACCCTTTAGCAATCAACAGGCTTGATGGCGCAGACCCCATGATATCGGGTCGATATCAACTGCCTCTTAGGTCTGTGCCATCTACTCTGAACCCACAGATCAATTCGAAGACAGATCCATGCGTCTCCACCCCCGCTGCGACTTTTCTATCTCCGCCCGTTCCCTCAGGACCTGGCGGAGGCCGCCCTGAGGCAGTTGTCCGAGTTCAAACCGCAAGAGCTTGCAAGCACTTTGTGAGGGTAGGTCGGGGGTCTCGGCCAAGGGCTTTAGCAGGGGGGCGGGGTGGTTGGCAGGGTCTGCAGACTTTAGCACCTGAGCACTTCGGCGTGGGAAAGGAGGGCACCTCTGCAGAGGTGGATCTTCCATAGGCCACCAGGAATCCCGTCCGATGCAGTCGGTTTTGACACTGCAATCATGAATCGTTGGACCCAGTTGCGTGGTTTTTCTTGGTTTTTATATAGTTGAAAGAACGGTTCACCGACACCGTGGCACATGTACGCCATGTGCCCGATGATGTGTCGCGCTATGGCCTCCCCTCTCCGAGGCCGAGCTGCGTTTCTACAATGAACCCTTGATCAGCGCCATTGCCGCGGAAGCGACTTCCAGGATAGAAGGCCCCAAAACGAACAAGCGACACACATCCGGATTGTGGTTGTACTGTAGATGACGCACACACACACTTGCATGTCAAATGGCTTCAAGTTTGCTGGGTACCCTGAGAGTCCGCATGACTCATTTTGCTGCTATGGTGGGGAAGTTCATGAGTCAAGAAATGTCAAGAAGTTCTGGGGTAGCTAATGATTGCACACCAAAGGCCTGGAGTGATAACCGCAGCGACCAGCGGCGAAGAACCGATGGTCAGTCAGTCGTTGTCGCTCCGATCCATTGGGTGAACAGGGTGCGCCCTGCTCGGTGCGCCCCGAACCCTTCGGCTCCCCCTTCTGGTCATTTACCGATCTCCGCCTGGCCCGGATCCGGCGCAGGTTTCGACCCCAAGGGCCTGAGTGGTACGGCATGGGCGTTGAGCAAGCTGGGCGCCACCTCCAGCGCCTTCTTCGACGTCATGGGAGATGCCGTGGTGCAACGCTCCGCGGAGCTAGGACGACTGGACTGGACCCGAACGGATCGATTGAAGCACTGGACCTGGTCTTGGGATCATGTTAGGTGTCCACCTGACCGCCAAGACGGTGGTCCATGTTCCTGAAATGGTCATGAGTCATAGGTTGTTTCACTCCACCTGGTTTGGGAAGGTGGAGGCCAATGTGTTCGGGGGGGAAAGGCACCTTCGAGCCGAGGTCTGCCGTGTGAGACCCTGCAATCACCTAACGTACTGCTTGTTCGTCATATGCAGGGGAGATGAGTCGATCTTACCCTACAAGTCAAAGACCTCATTTTACTATTTTACTGGAGATGGTCATACAAAACCAGTACTCAAGGAGGTCAAGGACCAGGTTTAACTTGGTCGTGGGACTCGTAGGGTCATGTTTCCAGTGAGGAACCTGATGAGGCAACGTGCAGCAGCTTCTCGATCAAGATTCCACCAACGCTATCGTTTTCATCGGCGCTTTCGTCACGGAGAGTTCTTGCTGTTGCCGTTGACTCCACCTTCCTGGAGATTTGCTGTTTTCTTTTTCCGTTTGGGAAGGGAAAAGGAGGTGACAGGTTTTTCAACCCCCAGAGGAGCACGGGAGATTTCCAACATTGCTTGGGCCTGTGGCAAGTTGCGGCACCAGAAGCATTCCTTGGTCGATGCCTTGGCCGGCCAAGCTGTTCAGATCCTGGATGAATTTATCAGCCGAGACCTCAGTTTTCTTTCAACAACGTTTCGCGTGAGCATCCTGCATAGCATGCCAAAGAAGTTGGAGAGAAGACTGAGGCCCGTTCAAACCACCTGTCCTTTAAACTATTTGGTACTCGTGTCAAGTCGTTTGGTCTTGTAAAACATCGTTTGGATGCTGTGTTTTCGAGCGATTTAGATGCAAGATGGCAACCAAACGATACGCATTGAGCATCAGTTCAACACCATGCGAAAAATAAGTTGATTCCCTTTCAGTGAACAGGCGATTCAGGGCAACAATGCACATATTTGTCTTCCCCACAACGCTACAAACTTGTGATTTTGTGCGCCTGGGGGCTATATACTTGAGACATCGGGATGACTGACTTTCGGAAAGCCCCGGGGTGACTTAACAGCCATACGCTGAGTCTCAGATCTGGTCAGAAGGTGGAAGTAATTGAAGATCTTCAACTTGAACATCTATGGTCAGAAAGTGGATTGGAAGTTTGAAGTCAATCCATCCCAAAGAGCTAAGACTGTTTCGACAGTCTTGAGAGGTCAGCACCTCTCCAACACTCTCTGGGCCTTAGCACGGCTTCAGAGCTACCAGCGGCCCCTGGTCCGGGACCCCAAGCGACCGCGGGCTCACGGTCACAGCGGCTGCGTGCCGCGCGTGCGTGCCGCGCGTGCGTGCCGCGTGCGTCGGGCGGCTGAGGTGGATGCCATCTCCCAGCAGGCGCTGCGGAAGTTGCCGATCCTGACGGCCCAGGAGCGGCGCCGGCCGTTGGTTCCGAGCGCGCCGGCCGAGCGGCGGCCGAAGGGATCCGGCCGAGGTTGCTGGGGGGACCTAACTAGAAAGGCCGCGAGAGCTATGGGTCTTGGGTGTTTGGGGGAGGTTTGGCCGCTTGGTGGAGCTTAAGAAAGTGTGATTGGAATGGAGCAGAGGGTTCCTCCATCACCCTTACTAGGCCTTACTGTAAGCATGCAGCACACACCCACAAGTTAGCTGTTCATGCTCACAACTTGCATCGTTGGGATCCAGGCTCCCTCCCCTTTTTTGTGTGCCATCTCCTTCGCTACGCCATGCCACTGAACCTTTGCATTTGCCCCCCCCCCCAGGTCCCTCTCCTCCCTGACCCTCCTGACCCTTTTGCTTGTCCGACCGAACCGGGGCGCCCCGGCGCAGGGAAATCCGACCGATCGCCGTGCGGAGGACCTGTGCAGCACCGCCTGGTCTTTGGCCATCCTCGAGGTGCGCGAGTGGACGTGCAGGGCTTAGAGACCCGGAGCGTGGAGCGTGGGTCAGCGCGGGGGTCAGCGGGGGTTAAGGGCGGCGGCGTCAAGAAGTTGTTCTTCTGGGTCACGAGCTGGTTGGTGAACTGCTGCTGCCTTGGGGCCCTTGGGGATTGTTTGGTTGTCAGATGTGCTTGGCTGAAGGGTGACAAGAGGGTAAGAGTCAAGTCTCCTTGTCAGCATCCTTGACGTCATCAAATCATCTCCTCGTCCTCGGCTCACCAGGTTGTTGGAGGCCGTTTCTGGCGCAGCCCTCGGCAAGATCAAGGCCTGCCAGTTGGGTTTGTGCCCTTGTGGTGTGAGGCATTTTTCTCCACCTGTCAGGCGAGGGTTGTTAGATTTTAGAAGAGGATTCCACCTCTCTGTCTCCGTCTCTTCTTCCAAATCGCCTTTCTTCGGGTAGGGATCGCTCGAAGTAGAGTAATTCTATATGTAATTCTTATTTGTCTTTTAACTCCTTCTCCTTCTCTTCCACTGATCGGTTCATAGACTCACAAGAGTTTCTTTCCAGTTCAGGCCTGCGGCGCCCAGGGCGTGGCTAACCTGTTATGGTCCTGTGCTACCGTGCCAGATGCCTCAGCATTTCATCGAGGGGGCGGGATGGGAGCTGTGGAGGGTGTGGAGAGCGAGAGAGCGAGAGAGGTCGAGCAAGGCGCAGTGTAACAGGAGTCGGATCATTGGGGATAGCATGG